TACTTGAACTGTACTGTATATCATATTATTTTCGATGGCTTTACTGTATAATCAGTTTAACAGATGGACAGATCGCCACTGGGCTTTCATCTAAACACACAGCCACGTAATGATAACAAAACAAAAGTCGGGGTCATTGGTCAAGCAACACACCAATCAGAGAGCAGCGTGAGCACACCTCAGGCTGTGTTTCATATAAAGAATAAATAAATAATACAAATTTGTATTCTTTATTTCTGATGTATTTCACACAAAAAACTTTTGGTGGAAACGTTTTAACTTATATGATTAAAAAAAAAAAACGGCAAAGTGGCAATAAGGCTTGCCCACCCTGCGTTGGGGGGGCACAGTGACTCATTTGGGGGGGCATGGCCCGCGAATGACCCCCCATGACGCCGACCCTGAAATAAGGTCTGTGGAAAACGAACCTGTTAGATAAATGCACATTTTGTTCAGCCGGATAATATCCACATGTCTATCCTACTTTCATTATTTTCGAATCATAAATCTAATCGATAGATTTATGGTCGATAGATTTATAATTAGCATAAGTTCGTTCATGATGGCTCATGTCAGTGATAGTGATGACATCGTTGCGAAATTATTAACCGAGTCATTTTTGATCGAGTTAGCCTACAATGATAAACTGGAGTGGCAAAGGATCAGCTGAATGACCCGCAAGTGCTTCATCCAAAAGGACAGGAGGATGGACTTTGTGTTTAAGTGATTTGATCATCAAAGGTAGGCCCAAGTCATTTTCAATGTGGGCCGCCGTGCCGACTTAATTCATTTGTAATTGTTACTTGGCTGTGGGTGCCCTGTCATGATAGATGTTTATATAAATGGTGTTGTTTTGTGTGGTAGAGGGTCGCTGTCATTGATGCGTTTTGCACCCCGGGCCGCTGTTTTGATATTCCGCTGAAGTATACGCTGTGACGTAATATCGCTTATTTTCTTTCGAGGGAAGGGGGGGGGGTCAGAGGGCCTAGGTATAAAAGTCACGGCTCGCCACTGGCATTGAGGAATGATCATGTGTTGGTAATTATAACCTAACAGTCAGAGCAGAGAATAAACTACTACAGATATTCAGTTGGCAAACCACATTCTAAGAGACGTTTAATCCGAACATTTTGAATCCTGCATTATTTACATCACGGTCAATTTGTCGCCTAGCAGTCTTCTTCTACCATGTGTTTCTGGGTGCTTTCTCACTCCCTTAAGATCCATTAAGAAGCATGATACCATCACAAGCAATGTGTCTGACACATGTCCTCATGTGCATACTGTACCAACCATAGACTGTATAACAACACAGTCTCACGGCATTTCGTGTTATAGTCACGAAAAATAAGCGGAAAATCAATAGATTAAATTAATTTCGTGACTATAACACGAAATGCCGTGAGACTGGGTTACAACAGGTACCAACACATTCTCACTCCCAACTCGGCCTATGTTGACATTATGTCAGGGTCCCTTGTTCGTCACTTTCCAACGCACGGGGAGGCCCTTTAGCGTCAAGTTTAAACTTTCGGGGATGTCCATAGACTTCTATAGAGCTCCCTAAACATATGTACCAGATGACTTGAAATCGTGAGCGAATGCTCCCCGCTGCGTGATTGAAAATACTTTATAAAAATAAAAAAACAAGGACAATAAACAAAGCAATCGTCACAACGGCCGGACACAATACTTTGAGCCCCTCTATAGTCAAAGCCTGAGACACCGTTTAAAGCATAATAAAGACAATATATAGAGAGCACAATGTTTTTAATGCAACGCAGTCTCGCATTGTATGCTTCAGCAGAGAACGGGCCGCGGTCGTTGAATTTCAACGCAGCGGGGAGCATTCACTCGCGATCTCAAGCCTGTACACAAGAACCAACAAAATAACATTTGATTTTTTAGCTCATTTAAAGTAAACAAAATTAACGACGAACGCTGACTGTATGGAATTGCTGGCCTGTGTCGACACACTCTCGCTATTAAACACTAACAGATGGAGAAATAAAATCACACATTAACACACAGAGAAATAAAATCACCCACTAACAAACCAAAAGTGATCTCTGCCTAAATGGAATTGTTCATTAATGTGCAGCGCTGTGGGCATGGATTTAATTGTGATTTCGGCAGTTATGCAGAATCTTTTATTTGCAGCATGCAGATAACACAAGGGTCAGGGGAAATATACTTGTTATGGTTCTCCAGTATTATGAGATTGCACTAGAAACAGTAGCTGTGACATTGACGTATCACTGTAATTCCCCCTCATCCCATTGCTTCATGGTTATAGGCAATGGTAATAAAACACAGTTGCACACGACTCAGCAGCGGCAGGTGAAGCGAGCTGGTTCAGCCTCGTGTTCTTATGTAAAGGCTTGTGGGTTTGTTCGCCCCCTGGTGAAGCTTATATTTGAAGCTTTTGGTACTTTTGTGACAAAACAACACAAGTAGTTTGGATTATTTTGGGATTTTTTTCACTCTCTGACAAGTTCAAAGCTCCAGCAGAAGCTATCAGATACTCTTAGGATTCCTTGCAGATGTGAGGCATTGAATACACTGAATGTCCTTTTTTTACTGGTTAAAAATTAATTACAGTGTTGGGGAATAAGGGACCAGCCTTCAGGTGCTTTAGTGGCTGGCAGAGGATTTTTGTTTGGGGAGTCGGTGTACCTATAGCGACAATCCACAGCCCCGAGGTACAGAATCTCCCAGAGCTCACAAGCTCAGCAATAACTTCAAACTGCGAGGCTGCATTTGTATGCTCAACACGGATTCAGCTCTTAGCCCAGGGCCATGTTGAATCCTCTCAGGAAGTTATGATGAGGAGTTAAGACACATGATCGGAGTTGATTGAAAACAAAAACATCCATCCCAGAAGTCTGAGGAGAAGGCTTTGATCTCCTTCTCGTTAATTTCGTCACACTAATTGAAAGTTTGGCAAACATTATTAATGCTCAACAGAACCCAGAAATATAATGTAATGTTCCCAGTGTGTTTTTAGAGGCATCATCAGGATATCACTGTTTAATGTTTACTTAACTTAAAGGTCCCCTATAATAGTCTTTTTCAATTATATATTATAGGGTCTCAAATATATACACAACATGTCTCTGAAGTGTTTGGCTCGAAATACCAAACAGATCATGCATTGTAGCATGCCATTACGCCCTCTTTTTCAGCCCTGTTCCAAAAGTGCAGATTTTTTATCTGTAGCTCTAAATGCTAATGAACTGCTGCTGACCACACCCCTCTGAGAGATGATTGGTTCGAAAAGGTTCAAGGTTAGTTTTTAAGACAAAGAGGCAATTCAGTGCTTCACATAGGCATTTAACACATAATAATTCAAAACAAAACAATTAAAAAAAAGACAATTCATAAAAAGGGATAAAAGAATGGTTGCAAAAAACACAATGGTGCTCTAGGAGGAGATTCAGGTGATAAGGTGGGCGGGTGTTACCTTGGATTGTTATTAGCTAATGGTTGCACAACCCAAAACAACATTGTGACATCACAAAGTGGCTACAATCTGATCAGCTCCTTTTCAGTCAGGTTTTTATTTAGATGGATCAGGACAAAGAGAAGTAATATTTTTTTCTGAAACTTTCCGAATCTCTTAACACAGAGGGGACACATGTTTATGTATAAAATACATGAAAAAGTGGATTTTGCATAATATGTAACCTTTAACAATAACCTCCTTTTTCAGTTTCTATCTCACTACTTTTTCATAAAGTAATTTGGTGCTGTTAGAAGAGTCTCTGCCTTGAAAGTTTAAAGTTATCTAGTCAAGGTCAAATATTGGTCTTGCAGATAATAAAGCTATTGTTCTGCCTCTGACAATTTATATAACACGGAGTAAAAAAGAAAAGAAAAAATAAGACAAACTCATCTCTGGGATTACAAAATAAGCAACCCCCACCAAGCAGCCCTGTGTGAGAGCTTTAATGCAAACAGGATACGGGTAACATACTTTGGTACAAGTCTCTTCCCTCTCTGCATGCTGTTCAGGAGCAGAACAGACATGGTAATGAGGACATTAATAAAGGATGCCGATACATTTTTAATGATCCACTGGCCCCTTTAGTTTCAAAATGATTTTCATGTCCGTGGTTGAGTTTTCGATTCCGAATCCGTGTTTTGCTCCGAGCGCGACTTGCAAATGTGCTATTTTTTGCCTGCATGAACAAAGTGCTGCATAAGACCTGCATATACACCTGACTGTGTGTGTGAGAGATAGAGAGACGCAGGATCAGTCTTCTCTGTCTATATTTGGAAGATAATACTTGAAGCAGGAAAGTAAGGAGGGGGAAAAAAGTCGAAACTCTATTATCCTGAAGTTAACTTGGCTTGGAGCCGGGCATTAAACACAAAGTGAAGAGAAGAAAAGTAAGGGGGGAGGTCTGCTGTATACCCAAAAATCCAGTACTGGAAATGAGATCTGCTTTGGTTGTCGCAGTGTGTGGTTGTGTCAGTTACTTTTTTAGTTTTTACGTCCATGTTCAGCTTTAGTTTTTGATGAATTCCCTCTCTGTGACTTCTCCCATCTAATATGGATGCTACTGAATGAACAGACCTCCGACCACATTGAGAGGATGCTGATATTTGCTTTTAGAGCATATTTGACAGCAATCCTCAAACTTACCAAATTAGTTTTCTGCAGAAATCAGATGTCAGGTTTATCTTTTGTGAATCTTTCCAAACATTGTACCATGTTAACTTACTGTAGAGGCATCAGATTGGATTTTAAAGAGGGGGATAAGAGAGTAAGATAAACTGGCTTTACACTCTTACACACACATCATGCCTTTCCCCACTTTCGTCAGGGGAGAGTCTGTCTATCTCTTTCTCACTGCTCTCTCTCTCCCTCTCCCTCCCTCCCTCTCTCCCTCTCTCTTGCTTTGTCCATGCTGTGTTTGCTGTGCTCTCTGTCTGAAGCAGCGCCACACTGGAGCACTAATGAGCAGGCTCAGAGCAAACCCAACACAGATCTCCCATCAGCTCAGGAGCAGCAGCATCTCTGACGCCATCTGAGGCTACGAGGCACAGCACTGATCTGCAGTCAGCGGGGAGGCAGCAGGGGGAGGCGCACAGGAGAGGTCGTGAGGTGTCTTCAGAGGCGAGATAGAGAGAGAGAGGGAGGCATCGCTCCAGAGTTACAGCAGACCTTCTCCACACTCGGAGGCTGACCCACAGTGCACTTTCTCTGGCTGAAGACGGAGGGACCTTTCCCCCTAAGAGAGGAGTGCAGCCATGGAGGAGATGCTCACCTGCAGCCGCAGCCCTTTCTCCCAGGTGTTCGGGCGGCAGGGTCAGCTCATGCAAGCCAGTGAGTGTTAACTTAGTCTGCAAAATGTCAAAGTTGTATTTGTCTTGCTCCATCCTCCATCCTGATTTAGTGTCTAAAGCTGGGTGCAGACACTGTTCTTTTTGTATTAAATGCTAAACAGATACAGAGTGTTTTGTTATTATAATGTCAGATATTTAAAGCCAGTATGCAAAAATAAAAATGTTTAGGGAGGCAACAGTTGATGATGTCCCAGATTCACCAAAAAACAGTTTGTACCTAAAATGAGCACTTCTTTCTTAAAGAAGCTTTTTGTGCAATTCATAATTCAGTTATTTCAATATTTGTATATATTAGGGGTGTCAAAACATTTAATCTGTTTTCTTTCTTGTAAAATAACTTGGACATTTTTTATTAAATTCAGCTGCATGTAGCATCACGCTCTCAAATGTATGGGTTTGACAATTTTTCTGATTAAAACGACATAACATATTGTAATGTTTACATCAATATTGAATCATTTCTAGTTTGTCACTGCGATGTGTTAACGTTGCGGAGTGTGATGCTGCGCTGATGAGGGATGTGAAAATGTGTGCGCCCGTGTGTGTGTGTGCCCGTGTGTGTGTGTGTGTGTGTGTGTGTGCAGGAGCATCCTTTTCATGCGCACGGGTAACATCCTTTGATGTCTGTCTGACCGAACATGCCAGAGGTCTAAAAAGGGAACATGAGAAAGCTGTCAACAGACTTAAATTACTGTAAAAATTCAATGTATTTAATTTAAGACAACATTAGTCAATAACACAATGAACAAGTATTGCAATTAATGCCTTTTTGGAGCCATAATACTTGATTTTCGTCTAGACTGATTATCAGAATATATGTTAATAATATAATGCATTGTTGATTCCCAGTAAACTGAGTATTTGCTTATTTTATTAACTTATCTCCAAATAAAAAAATGAAATGCCTGTGCAATAAATGTTGCACTACGCACTTATTTATTTTTTGCAAGTATGCCCAGGAGTGAATTGGCGGTAAAATAAATTGAATTGTACTGTATTGATGCTTATGTTTTTTTATTATCAATATTGGAAGGGACTTTTTGCTTTAGGGGTGTTGCACACTCACAGTCCCCATGGAAACCCGGTCCTATGTCGGCACACTTATGCATTTGTTTGAATTGTGCTTATCAATCCTCACAGCATGACACAATCCACCTCGGATGTTCTGTACCAAGGTGTCTCATAATGTCTAAATCTGAAAATAGCATCCTTTGGCTCACCTGATGTGAAGCATAGTGATTTTTCAAAGGCTTTGCTTCACATTTAGATTGTATATTTGCATGCTTGTATCTGTTTGGCATGCTCTTCCATTGTGGTATGGAAATTGATTTGTTGTATTCCCTCAGTTAATTTGCTATGAGGCAGGACCTTCAGCTTTTTTGAGTGTAGCTCTACCTTGTCTAATTTAATTTTTTTCATTCATCAATAAATAATGGTGTGCTGCTAGAATGCTGTTTTGCAAAAGGAAAGCGTTGACTTTGTTTGACACATGAATGTGTCAATGTTTCAATGTTGGAGGGACTTCAAGCTGTCTTTGTGCAAGTTGTTTTTGTACTATCACACACTGAAAACACACTCGCACTGAATCATCTTTGGTATACATTTACTTTACACGTGCCAAAAAAGGGATCAGTTTATTCCTTCCACTTTTACCCCATTCAAACAAAACTTGAAAGAGAACTTGAAGTCAAACTGTGCTTCTCGCAGTGACTCCCCCCAAATGATCATTCACATCATAGGTGAGAGCACTGTGTGAATTACACCTAAATGTCATTCCCTGGTTGTGAAAATCACATTATCAATGCATGTGTTGTGCTGAATAACAGTCAGTCTTTCGCTCCCCAAGTTATCTATGCTCTTTGAAGCTTGTGCTGCATGTCTGCAATTTCGGATGTGCGGTAGAAGGGGAGGGGAAGGGAAGGCAAGGGGGGGAGGGAGGGTGGGAGAGAAGAGGGAGGGGATATGGAAGGGATGGGAGCAAGAAAGTGAGCAAGCTGCAAATTGTGTGAATAAGAGAGGGTGTTTGTCTTCTATTTTTAGCTACAACCTTACATACTGTTACACGGCTGCTGTGAGACTAATCCACAGTAGCGCTGGCTCGCAATATATGAACAGTAATTATACAGGGATTTATCTTTGGCTGTCACCCATCACTGGATCAGGAGTCGCTCTGCTATATGCAAAGGCCTGCTTGAGTTGCAAAGGAAAAAACCCATTACATGAGTGTTGCACATGCCCAAGGACTTGAATATTAACAACCTTCTGGTGGCAGAATAAAAACTTGACAGATTTTTTCTTCTTCTCATGAATCACATTCACGTGGCAGTGCCAGGTGAATAATCCTGCTACAACTCTCTTGCTCCCCACCGGTGCTGTGATTTGTTCTGTGTTCAGTGTTGTGACGAGTTGTCAAAATTCCCTGAGCAGCAAATGCTCCTGTTTTTTACGAGAGCGTGACAACTTAGTTCCCTAGCTACGAAGTGGTTCAACTTATCTCGGGAAAGTAATTTCTTACGGGTATTTTAAAGATAGTTGATAGGTAGAGCATACCTTTTTAATAAGAATGGTGAGAAGGAAATCCAATGGGTGCTGATCAATATAGTAGAGTAAGAACAAGCACAGATAGATTCACACACAAAAAAGCTCCAGACTTTTATTTCTTCCACTCCCTACTTGTTTACGATTGTTCTATTGTCTTTCTGCAATTGAAATGATAACATCCTGTTCCTCTTGAAGATTAAATACAATTCTCAACAGAGTGATGTCTGTTGAATGAGCAAGAACGTACTGCTCAAAGCCACAACATCCTCTGTAGGCTGCTGATAGGATTAAGGATCGATGATATCACTTCACCATGAATTGAGATTTCTTCCAATCATAACTCACCTTTTTTTTACTCTAGTGAAATAAAAGCTTCTTGTTTTCTCATGGCTGCTATTGTCTTCTGGCCCAATTTCCAAATAACATTCTCCAGTTTGAAATCAATATCCCACACAAATGATTGACCATTTTTGTAAATGTTGTTCAAGCTCAATTAAGTAAATATCTTCATATTGTTTCCCACTACAATATGTTAAGATACACTATGCTTATTTCTGCTTGCTCTGAAACTAAGATGAATTCACGGTCACTGATAAAGGTGGATGATTACTTCAGGATGAGGAGAGTATTTATTTTTAGTTTAGCAGTCAAAGTGGGACACTGTTTCCTCATTTTACCCTTGAATATTCCCTTAATACCCCTCAATAAACCGTCTGTAAATCCCTGCTCAGGAGAGGGGAACATGATTTGAAGTTTTAATATGTGACCACTGCAGGTGTAGAACATACTTTGGTCTTCTTTGAAGTGATTAATTCCTCTCTTGCTTCCACTTGTGTTATGGTTCCAGCACACTGACAGATTCCTCACACCTCTTTACCCAGTGGGCTCTCCTGCAGTGGGAGATTAGCTTCATGCTCTTGGTGCTGCTAATCATGTAGAAGGAGTCACGTTGCAGGAGGTTTTTCTGGTACAGTAAGTGTGTGCACTCAGCAAGGTAACATCAATATTTTTCAGTAAAGGATTTGGGCTGTTTTCCGCTCTTTCCTTGTTTAATTTATTCTAGTTTACGCTAAGGGTAACTTTTGAAAAGCCATTCTAACTGTGACTCTACAAGACCTGTGCATTCATACTATCATTTACCATGATGTGCTCCTTTTAACTAATTTGTAGACATTTTACCACGGGAGATGCATTATCGTTCAGCCAGATTTAAATTATCTCACACAATCAGTGAGGGTAAAATATAAAAATAATTCAGACTACAACTGTGAATCTTTTTTAATGTCATCTAGCGCTTTGAAGTACTTGGGTATACACATTGCTGCAGACTTTCAGGGTTAGCACACTCTGCTGATAGTGTGTTTTAGTGCTTTTCCTGGTGCATTTTGTCTACAAAGAGCATAAATAATGTTGCTCCCGGTGCTCACAAACAAACAGCAGTAAAGATATGATGTTTTCACTCTGGCTTCTTTTCAGTTTCGATGGCTTATTGAAGAATAACTCAAATTATATTATTTTGACTGTAGTTTCAGTTTCTCTTGGGAACTTATTTCCATTTGAGTGGGTCTGTGATCTTGATGAAATGTATGAACCAAAACGTAACTTAAAAAAAGTAAAGGAAGAGATTATAATTATGTAGCGTGACCTGATGTACTTTATGTCTAGACCTGTTATTGACCGGTCAATCAAAGATGAATGCTATTGGTCTGCACCAGTGGACATACTCATCCTCACATGAGATGGAAATCATGGTTATGCATCTGTGAAGCTAAATCACATCAGAATCACCATAGCTTGACACTGTGTTAACCCAGAGTAAGAACCATGCAAATATGTGCAAATCCAAAGGTGATGAAATTCCTCAGTCGTTGGAAAGCTTTTGTGTCAAGATGTTCTGGGAAGCATTTTTTCTTCGTGTAATAAAAAAGCAGACACCTTCAAATTAAGCTTTTAAAACTCCTCACAGAGGAAAACTGCTGTCAATGCAATTGTTCTGATTTAGAAGGCGGATCAAAGGACACCTGGCACACATTTACAATGCACCTTCCTTCTAGCCCCTGTGCTTGGAATTAGAAATCTCCCACTTCCATTAACCTTCAGATGAATGAGTGTACTGCCAGAGGAGCCTGATTTAATACAGAGAGAGGGTCAGCGGGCAATGTCTCTCCTTCACTTCATCTTTCTTGTCCTTTCTGCTGAACCTTCCTGATATAAACTTTGTGTGTGACCACATTCTGTAGCACATAGGGGTCATTCTGAATACACAGCATTTAAAATGGTTGTCATCTCCAGAGGGTTTACAGGAGATATAGTATAGCTATACTGTAGATATAGCCAGGTAATCAAAACACTGTTGATTTCTATCTATAGTGCAATATAATCCATAAAAAAGATAACATGTTTGATACTGCAGAGATGTAGTACTGCAGAGTGTGTGGA